TCCAGGAACAACAGGGCCATGAGCCAGGAGAAGATTTATGAGCACTTATGTCATCTACCTGGTGAGCAGTAGTGTGGAGAACGGCAGCGCAAGAGCTGTTAGTGTACAAATCAGCTGTGCTGGAGCTATGGAAGGAGAACGGTTAAAGCGGTGTTAGGAGGTGAGGGGTGCTTCTTTAGAGGCAGAAAATATACAGTGTGTCCTGAGTGGAGAGATGGTGTTAACCATGAGAATAGAATGCTGCACGAAGTTGAAATTGGGTTGACAAAAGTTAGGGAGTTGGTGAAACTTAAATGTAAACTACAGTATGATATTTAGTGACTTAACCCCCAGCTTTCGGGAGTAACAGTTTGTGGGATTTGAATCAACCCTGCCCCTTTCTTTGCATGGGTCTTCCCAGCTCCTGCAGCTTACATGTATGGCAGGTAGTAGAGAAAGACTTAAATATCACCAGACTTCTGCTTGTCTAGTGCAATAACTTCCCTAAAGCACTGCTGGTGCGCTGTGCTGTTCCCTGGTGGTGTGTTGGATACCAGGCACAAAACATCTGCCAGCTTTCTGGAGTATTTCACAGCTGAGGTGGATTTCTTCCTATTTTCAACTAGGGCTGTAAACATGAGGGTTCATTTTTCATTCATTGTCCAAATCTTATATCTCTACACTCTTCTGATGATGTTCAGCCCCCTGTCACAGTTATCAACTTCATCCTAATTAGGAAAGCTGCCTTTAAGGCAGCTTTATATCTGAGACTGAAGCATTACAGGACTTCCATTTCCTTTGCTCGGTGTGGGGTTTTGGGGCCCTGCAGATACATTCCCAAGGGCCTGCTGCACATGGCTGCTCAGTTGGCTTGGCTGCAGCAGATGGAGGTACTGGCATGAGCACACAACAGAGCTGAGCCCATCTTCTGCCTCAATGTTATGTCGCACCTAAAGATTGCCTCACTTTGCTCTGTGTGGCGTAGCACTTTATCTACAGTTAGCTTGGTTGAATGCACAGTGACCTATTTGTGTACTTTCCCAGAAATATCTCTAAATGCTGAGCTGTATTTTTGGCTGTGCAGCTAATAATTTTCTATTAATACTTATCTTAGATTTGATCCACATAAAATGCACTGTCAAATAAGGTTCTCATAATATTTTTAAGCAGTCTAACCTTTTGGTCCTGGCCAAATTCCAACTGAATAATTGCTGTCTGACTACCTACATTCCTCTTGCATTTTCAATTGGAGAAGTTAGGTCTCCCTCCCTGTTTTAACAGTGATTGTGTAATATTGTTCTGCAGCATTAAGTAGATGCTGCGTTCCTCTACAATGCTGGATATGTTTTATTGGTAAATAAAATAAGATTATAGAGTTATAATCATTTTACAGGCATGTTTATGTCTAAATATAGATATGTCTGTAAAAGCACTTTGTCTAATATCCCTGTCATGCATTCTGTATCAGGGAGAAAGGGAGAATATAATACTGTGGAATAATGTCTTTAAAAAAGAAAAGAGAGATATTACGGGCTACAATGGAGTTTGAGATTTACCGAATTGTTTTGGAAAGGCAGAAAAGCCTTCCTGACGCTGTTACCCTGCATCATTGATAAGGAAAAAAACCTACTGATGTAAAATACTATGTATTGAATCACCTTGATGCATTTTAAAAGTCACTCTTGACTTATGAAATTAGATTTGAGGATTATTAAAATTACTTGGAGCAACTAGAGAGAAACTCTCTGTTTTAGGACTGCAGCTTTGTCATGATCTTATGAGTTTCTCCATGTGAATCTGCAAATACTCACTGAAGTAAGAGAAAACAAAAACACTCACAAGGATGTCCCCACACTACCTCTGGTGTTTCCTCAGTTGGGCGTCTCAAACTTTTCCATTTGAACACTGCAGAAGTAAACATATAAAACTTGCTGCTGTATATGAAACAACTTTTCACAATAGTTCTGAGATCACTTTAGTCTTACAATATTTGTGCAGGTGTACCCGTGCCCTTTACTGTCGTTCATTCAAAAAGGGCTCATGGTGAGAAACATTAGAGGAGGAAAGAGGGATAGGGGTTGGTGCTGGGATGCCTGTTCCGATCTCCAACAGCCTCTACTTGCACAGTGCAACTCTGCGCTGTGAACCTGCTTGTGCCTTGTGGCAGTGTACTGTGTCTGCACGGGAGAGGCCAACCTTTGGCTGAGGGTGCCACTATCCTTGGTTTGGGTACACTTTCTTTATGTACTCCTGCCTTATCGCAACCCTGGATCCCATCCTACCAGGGCACCCAGCCAGGAACAGGTACCTCATACTGCCTCAGGTGGGTGGTCTACATGCCAGCAACCAGAGTCCATGTTTCTGAAACATGCTAACAGAGAAGTTATGTCTGAGTAAGAGATGGAGGGAGACTTGTCATAGGTGGTTGGATAGGCACAGGTTACTTAAGCCATTTAAGCCTTTTAGTTTTAGCGGAGCCAGAATAGGGCTCATGGCTGAGGATCCGAAGTAGAGGGAGATGCTGTTTGGCTGTGGTGGCACCATGACCTCTTCACATTAGTCTTTTCCTAGCCCTGGCAACTTTCTGTGTCACTGGATAAAGACTGAGCTTCTAGCACTTTGCAGGGAGCCCCATCATCTTGTACTGAAGAGAAAATCTGTCTAGGGGTACATCCCATAAGCCAGGCATTCAGTAGGTTGGCACCTAAATGCTCTTCATGATCTGAGCCTTCTTATGCTGTCTCTTGAAAGTACTTGCTAGAGATTAATTGGCTTTGAAGCAGATGAAGAGAAGGGAACAGGTTTCTTGGCGAGAATTTTTCCCTATGGGAAAGGTCTATGCTTGGGTGAGAAAGCAGGCAGCTGTCACGTTTGCCTGCATAGCTCCTGCATTGCTGCTCTCTGAGTTCTGTGTTGTAAGGCCATGTAAAGTATTCCTGGTGGAAAAGGGGCTGGGAAAAACCTAGAGTCTGCTCCCTGCGTATCACAGCTAGCCATTACCTAACCAAGCGTAATAGATTGTGTGAGACTATGCAGAGATCGCAGGAGACATATTTTAGAGAGTGCAAATATAGCATTGAAGTGAGTGAGCAAGAAAGTGAGAGACAGAGAGCGTACAGAGTGCATTAAAGTTAATAAAGCATTGCAGGAGTGGGGACTGCATTTCACTGTGAAGGAATCTAATTTAGTGACTTGTAATTGGAGGATAACAGTCCTGCTGGAATGAAGTTAGCTGTTCATTTTGCCAAACTCTCGAAGTCCCTTGGTTCTTGTGAGCATCTCTCAGAAAGCAGATCTGTCAGAGAGTTTAGAATCGATTGGTGCTTTGTACCCAAAGCACCAATTTTGTCGCTTTCAGTCTCCTAAGTGGATTTGGTTCCTCTGGTGCATATTTAATATCTATTTTATTCTCCAGTTATTTATCCAGTAATAACAATGCAGGATACGGTCTCACTGCCATGCTAAGCAGAGAGAGAGCGGGTACGGAGTATCTGTGTTCTCCTGGGCAAGGCACAATGGAGTTGCATGAACCCTTTTGCTGGGCCTGACTGGCATCACGCAGGCTGTTGGGTGGACTTCCAACTTCCCCTAGGTCTTGCTGGTATTGTCCCTGCTACTGCAGCCTTCTGTACATTTGATAGAGAGACATGTGGCTGTGAAGGGCATGAAAGAGTCCGATTTCTAGATTCCTGAAGACTTAGAGGGTCAATGGTGTAGTACTGGTGTAGTACTGGTGTACTTATTCTAAGAGAGCACGGCTGTTGAAAAACAGACTTCTGGGTGTGAACGTCTAAGGGAAAGTCTTCTCTAGTTTGAAATGCCTGAAATCTGCTTGGGATGGCAAAGTGGCCCTGGATAGGCAGGCTGAGCAGTGCTGCTCCCCAAAGGGGTGATGGGTGGCCAGGGAGGTCATTGCTGTGTTTTTGTCACCAGATCAGTAGGATTTTGGTAATACTGACTCCTTGTAAGTGCTGTGAGGATTAATTTGTTAGTGTGTAAAGTTCCTTTGAAATGAAAAGTGCTGTGAAAACGTGAGGTACTATTAAATCAGGAGTGAATAAAGAGGTAGGAACAATCTTGCTCAGGCAGGAGCTGGAGAGATGACTTCACCGGGCTTTCCAATTTTTACTATTATGATTATAAAATGAAGTGGATATGTTCAAGGAAAAGACCACTGTAACCTTCTTGGCTGCGGTAGTGGAGAATAAGCTCTTTGAGTCTTTCTGCTTATTGGAAAAAAATGTTGTCATAGGGGTCTTGTAGGGAATGTCCTCTCCACGTGTCACTGATTCATTTTTAACTATGACCATTTGGAAATTTTGCATTCCTTGCTTTTTAAAAACAAATGGACTTTGTGTAGATGAAAGACTGACTGACTACTAAAGATATGAGTGGTGTGTGTCCCTTGGGTAGGAGGGCTATATGCAGTGCATATGCAGAGTAACACCCACTCACATCCATTCAATGGCCTTGCCCATTTGTCTTTACTCTAGAGGTGCTGTGCTGATGTAGTAAAAGGCAGTCCTGCCTGTCTGGTCCTTTCAGCCTCTCTGCCTGTATATCCAGAAGAAGGCCAAACTAATCACAAACATTAATAATTCCTTTGTGTTGAGGGCAAGCACTTAGACATGGGCTTGACATAAGCAATTAGTTTCACAAAGACAGCTGAACAGCTGTCAGTGGACAATTCTTCTCAATTTTCAAAATCAGTTTTGACTTGGGTCTCAGCATGACATGGGACCTAAGATAGATGACATGATCCCATCTTCTGCTGTCACTCTGAAGTGACTTCAAACTCTGGGGTTGCGACCAGAACTTAGTATGTTGCCGTGAATGCAACAGAAGGACTGGGTGCTGGGCAAGAAAGACTGGTGGGAGGACAGCTATTGGCTGAGGAAGATCGATGGATCTGCCTTGAATGCAGAGTGCATGATTGACTTGTCAATTAATCACTTTCCCTTTCTCTCACTTTCCCCGTTTCCTTTTGTATCTTTATTTCTCAGGGAGTGTAAGAGCTGAAGATGAGGCCCAGGGTGGAGTGCTACTCTCCGAGGTTTTGGCTGGTGCTGGCAGTCCTCGCAACAACAGGGAGCGGGACCCACGCGCAAAAAAGCCACCCAAGCATTGGCATTGCGGTCATCCTGGTGGGGACCTCAGACGAAGTGGCCATCAAAGATGCCCACGAGAAAGATGACTTCCACCACCTCTCAGTGGTGCCCCGGGTGGAGCTGGTGGCCATGAATGAAACTGATCCCAAGAGCATCATCACCCGCATCTGTGACCTCATGTCAGACCGGAAGATTCAAGGGGTGGTATTTGCTGATGACACAGACCAGGAAGCCATTGCCCAGATCCTGGACTTCATCTCTGCCCAGACCCTCACTCCCATCCTGGGCATCCATGGAGGCTCCTCTATGATCATGGCAGATAAGGTAAATTTGAACTTGCTTTGATTGTAGACTTGCAGATTAGAAGTAAGTTGAAACAGAGAGAACTATCTTGTTCTGTGATCCTCAGGTGGAGTCTCCTGGGGCCGAAGGGCTGGGGGATTAGAAAGACTCAGATTCAAAGAGAGATTAAAAGAGCTAACTGTGTAGCAGTGCTGAGGAGAGCCTATTAATCATGTGGAATTACCTGCAACAGAGAAAAAGCAAGGAGGGGAAGGAGCAGATAGAAGAGAGCTGCAAAAGAATGAGCTCTGTTCTTCTTCCTTAAGAAGTGTAAAGACTTTGACAGTTGTGATTTTTTTTTTTTTTTAAAGGTTTTATTTTTACCAGTGTTTTACCTTAGAAATGCCGAGAATGCTAGCTTGTGTTTTCCCTGAAAGGAGCTGTAGGACGTTGTGGCATTTTCAGGGATGTTTAATACAGCTCTTACATCTTAATTGAAAAATAATTGAATCTTTAATAAAGCTATTGTCTCTCAGAAGTGTTAATCAGCTCCTGAAGTTAAATAAGTGCTAGCTTAAGCAAGTAACCAGTCTGAACTGGTCCAGCTAAGTCCTCTTGTTTCCACTGTGCTTCCATCATGTCACTGACATTTCATTTTTCCCTGTCTCTAGCCAGTTTTTTTGGCAGTTACTGCACAAACAGGCCTTCCCACATCTGCATTTGAATGCTGCAATATGCAGGGAGCACCAGCTTTGGCCAGCTGTTATCTGTGAGCTTAGGGGAGGGAGCATCCTTGGGTTGCAGTCGGACCCAACAGAAATATCCTTCGTGGGAGGAGCAGGATACCCCAGCAGTTCATGCCCGAGTGTGCATTTGGCCAGCCAATGTAGCTGACAGTGGCCCCCAAACTGCTGTGGGCTGATGGGAATATCCAAGAGAAGTGGGCTGCCTTTTTCCCTGTAGTCCTGGTGTGACAAAGAGATGAGGGCAGCACCTTTATTGAGAAGAACGTCTTGACCGTGCTTTGTGCATCATACAGAAACAAACAGGGGCACAAGCAGTCTTTTCCTTTTGCAGTCATGCAGTCACTCTTCAATGAATCTGAGACATTTAACTAGGCAGAATCAGGTCTAATTGAATAAAGGGGGAGACTTAAGCTGACCACTGGCAACATTTCCTCAGAAAGAGATTTAGTGGACTGCAAAATCCAGGCATTTTCTGTTTAATTTAATTTGTAAGTGAATAACCCAGGGCAGGTTATTTTAGGTGAGTAGATGGGAATAAATTAATTATGATATTTTTTCTTTGACCAAATGTTCAGTTGCCGAAAAATACACATTTAATACACAGCGTTATTTTCCCAAATTAGTCTTTGAAATAAAGTAGTCATTTAATCATTTAATAAAATAATTACAGGGTTTTTTTTTTGTTTTGTTTTGTTTTTTCCCCACTTGTTACGGAAGACATTCTGCCCCATTCTACCCACAGTGAGACTTTTCTTTCTTGGGAAGAGCTCAAAGAATCATAGAATGTCCCGAGCTGGAAGCGAGCTGTAAGGATTATTGAGCCCAACCCATAGCTCCACACAGAATCACCCAAAAATCACACCTTGCATCTGAGAGCTTTGTCCAGATGCGCCTTGAACTTTGCCATGACCACTTTCGTGGGCAGCTAGGCAACAGTGTTGTATGAGGCTCTCTTGCCTCCTGCATTACACGGTTGTTAATATCTGTGTGTAAACCAGGTCTGGAACAACAGTTGGATGCTGTGTTTCACACTTATGTGGTGGCATTTTATCCCTTCTTCGAACAAGCATCAGTATTTTTGATGCCAAACCTCCTATGTGCTAGAAAAAGATCTTTGCAATTTTGGACTTGGCAGACCAAATTTTGATTTCCAATTCCTGTAGTGTAAATCCAGCACAGCTCCATCACTTGTGGTAGGATTAGATCAGATTTACTCCACCAAAATTCAAATAGAGATTTGGCGAATTGAACTCTGCAAAGATTTTTCTTTTTACCTCTCTCTCATCTCTCCTTGGGAAGGTGGCACCTCATGCGGCTGCCTTGTATACCCCCCAGCTCAATTCTAAAGAGCCTCTTGGCAAGCAGGCAGCTCACAAAGAGCATGAAGGTGGAAGCATTATGAATGGAGATCTTGTTTTATCACACTCCCTTTTTGTAGTTTGGCAGGCAGGAGAAGCATACAAAGATCTGTGGTTTCAGGAAAGGCCAAGATTTCTTTAAACATGAATTGAAAATGCTGACCTTTAGAGCTTCTGTTTCACAGGTGTGTAATGTTTAATGGGTCGTATTTGTTTGATGAATTGAATTAAAACCTGGTGGAGAGTAAATACATTGATATTCTACTAAAAATGCTGAAGTCAGACTGGTAAGTCCTTAATCTGTTTTCCAGAGAGGGCCCTGACAGAAGCATTGCTTTTTCTTATCCTTAGTCATGTAGTTTGCAAATGAGTTTTGTGGCTGGGGTTTGCTCCTGCAAGCACACGTTGCTTCTGTCAGCATCCCCTCAGTGCCTGCAGCAGTCAGCTGTGATCGAACTTGCTCAGCATTTCATGGGTTCAGACCTTCACTTACAGTTTTGTTGCGTTCCCTGTGCATTTACGATCAATAACGCCAGTGCAAACCTAAAGAACAGTGCAAACCACTGACACCTTAGTGTGACAGATAAGCCCTTCTCTGGAAGTTGAAGCAAAAAACTCCATTGAACCACCTTCCCTGGAGGAATGTGAAAAATTGTTACAGCTTCAGTGAGGGCTGATAACTCTGTCTGGGAGGAAATTTGGGTCTGTGTGCGAAGAGAGCTTTGTAACGTACTGTGAAGCTGGTGAATTGAGGCACAAAAAGGCAGGTGGGGGGAAAAAAAAAAAAAAAAAAAAAAAAAAGAAAGGAAAAAAACAGTTTTGAGCCTGAATTTACTTCCCCTCCCCACTGTACTCATAGACTGAGATACTGTATAGGTTGCTCTCAGTCAGTGTGCATCTGAATGTATGCTAGCTCCTAGTTGGAGGTCCAGACATTGCGACAGTGGAGACAGTGATGCCACCTGAGGATGGTTCATGTCACCTACCTCAGGGTGCCGTGAAATGCTTGTGGAATAGTTCTGTGTCTCCCCATTGATCACTGAAGAAGGCTGTACCCCCTTTTCCTTCAGAAGCCTCAGGTTAAATGCCATGAACCCTGCCCTAGATGTAACAATGGGTGGAGGCATGCTGTGGGAAAAATTCAGCATCTGGATTTCCTGATTGTTTTCTTTGAATTTGTGATCTTTAATATTGCATTTGATTAGGTTTTGTGGAGAATGTTGGGTTTTCCCTGTTTAGCCTTTTTCCTCTAAACAATAAGTATGTAGTTATTTGCATATGTTTTTGCTGTTTCTCTCCTTGGAGCTCATGTCTCTAATCCCACCTGTTTAGCTGTTACAAAGTGTTGCATTTAATCTCTGCCTAATTTGGCATCAGAAGAAAATGACCAGATGATGTTTGCACACTGAGATCTGGGGCTAGTTCCAGGAAATTGGTACAGCACAGACGTGCTGTGCCACACTCTAGCACTGGAGAGACCACTTTGCTGAGAAAGAGTCTTGTTCACCACTGGTTCAGCCCCTTTAGACTCTGATGAGGTCATCAGCTGTGACATCAAGCAGTGGGAGCTGTAGCGTTCATTTTGTTGGTTCAGTCCCTGAGTTGTCTCCTTTCAGAGGGGCAAGTCCTGCAGTTGTGGAGCAGGCTGGAAGAGCTGCACTGTTTCAGCTCTGCAAACAAATGCCTGCTCCTAGTTTTGGTACTGGCACCTTGAAAAAGGATTAGGATCATAGCACTGTCTGACCAGGACCCCTGACGAGAAAGGGAATAGCATGGATCACTGCTGATGTATGTTGAATCTGGAATAGATGAAATGGAGAGGAGAGAAATTTTCACCTTCATAAGTGCTAAGATCTATGGTTCCAAGTGCTTTGTCTGTTGAAGCTCTGGTCTCTTCACTTTGCCGGATGTTGCCTCAATGACCTTTCTTTTTCTAGTTTTGTTCTGCTGATCTTAAGCATTGTCCTGAGGACTGCAGAGCACTTGTGACCAGTGAGCATCTGCCATTGTTCCAGTGTTTAAAATAATTTCTCTTTTCTCTCAAGTTGTTTTGAAAGCAGAAATTCTATCACAGTGTGGAAATATCTGGTTGATGAGGATGCTCTACGCTGGGAGACTGATGGTGGGAGGAAACCTTCAAGGCTGCAAATACAGCTTCAGTTCAGATAAGCATGCAAACCAGTATCTTGTGTTTGCAGACCTGAGACTGGAAGCCTGGGAAGGGCTTTTTTCATTATGTTTTTAATATTACCTACTATCGCTTCTGCCCAGAACTAGGAGGTAAAGAAATAGTTGCAGAAGAAGTAATAACAACAATGTATATTTGACTGACTAGTCTGTTTTATAACAACAGACTTTTTTTTTTTTTTTAATTACAGAAAAAGTCAACTTGGTGATAATGAAAGTAGAAGAGGTAAGAGCAGGAAGTGCCTTGGGTGCAGCTTTAGAATAACACAATAATGCATAGGCAGCACTGAGGAAAAATATTGGAAGAGGAAGGCGATTATGTTCTTCCAGCTGAAAATTCTCCTTTATCACTGCAGCCCTTGCTGTTCACACTCTAGAGCTTGTTCATATAGAGTAGCCATACCGATGGAAATAAAATGATAGGGAAAAATTATGTATTAAATAGAGCTATGCTGATAATAAAATCTACATAAAAGCTGCATGAAACATCTAAAAATCTGTATTTGTTTCCTTTTCTCTGACAGCATAGAGCTGAATTTTCTACTCCTCCCTTCAGTACCTTGCATCCTGCACCACTCTCGCCTTCCCTCCTCCCTACTCACACCGAAGTACGCTTTGTCTTAGAATCACAGAATCACGAAGGTTGGAAAACACTTCTAAGACTATCTAGTCCAATTGTCAGTCCATCCCCACCCTGCCCACTGACCATGTCCCTCAGAGCCACGTTCACACAGCTGTGGAGCACCTCCAG